TTCTTCTCTCAAGACACAAAAAATCCTCATTTTTCTTGGCTACACTTTTCACCATGATGAGTGACTAAGCATTTCTTTCTAATCAAAAGATAAATTGAAGATTTGGTTCTACAAATAACTGTGTAATCAAATTTATTTTAAGTGTTTCTTTCATTCATTAATATTTGTATGCTTCTTGATGTCATTGTTTATGATTATTGTGTCAGTTGACTATCAAAGGTCCAGTATTTTATTTTACCTGATAATCTATTGCTAATTAAAATAGTTAAATTCATAATTGTTGGAGCTGTTTTAATATTAGTGGTACTAACATTATTGGGTTGTATTAGGAAAATTTACAATCTAATTTAAATAAACCCTCGTAGCGTGTTTGTTTATTAGAATTGGATTTTTTCTAATCTTAAATACAATTTTAAGATTAAATCCTATAATCGTACATAGAATTATCTTTTAATTATGGAAATAATTAATGTCGTATCTTAACTATCCAAATAGTAAAGATTTGATTGTCAGAACTTGTTGACAACTATAACCAGTTTATCAACGGACACTAAAATTTGTCTTTGCATCAAGGATGAGTTACATGAACCATTTTTGAATTTATTCCCGTGACTAAAGCTTTAGTTATTATTGATTTAGACTTAATTAATTTTTTGCATATTTGAGTTTGTTAGAGCTTAATTAATTAGTTTATTTTTCCAAAATCCCCCATTTAACTCTTGCTAAGGAAAGAAATAATTCATCCCAATTCCTATGGAGCCAATCCAATGTACAACTGTACTGTAATTTTTATATATTATGGAATAGGTCATTATTTTGATTGGCTGACAACCTGTCATACAGAAATCGAAAATGTGTAAAGCAATTGTTAAGAAGGAAAAGCAATTGTGTTTCCCAAAACAAAACAAAAAAAGGAAAAACATGCACATTACCTATTAGTGAATATGGGACGTTCCTTATTGTGGTGCAGAAAATACAAATGTTAATTCTTGTAAATTAAGCTGCTTAACCGCATATGCAAAATAACTAATTTGAGGAAATCCTACCCTTCAAATTGTCCCAGGAAGTACATTTTGACTCCTATGGTTATCAAAGGCATCTGCTAAATTTTTTTTTTTTTTTTTTTTTGGTTTCTTTAGGCAGCATATGCTAATTATTTTCAATACAAGAGGGTTAGAAATATTTTAAGATTGATGCTTGTTCAATTTGCTCTTTAAATCTTCCGAAGCTATACATCGATACCCAGAAGTTGTACAAAATCAAACACTAAATTTGAAAAAGAAATCAAATTAATTATACTATAAAATTTTGATTTTACCAACTTCATTAAACGTGTGGTTATATATTCTATGCCAATCAACCCTTCCAGTTCCAAAGAAGCCAAAAGAGAAAAACAAAAAACAAAAAATGAATTCTATATTAGTTGGGACAAAATTATGTTTACTCACCAATCTAATCCTGCGACACTTCTTGAGTCTGGTATCATAAATCAAAAAGAAGGGGCGGCACTTATTGAGTCTCGTAATGAAGTAGGGATTCTCCATATTTGAGTCAAAATTACCATACCGGTTTTCTCCTTCCTCTCCTCCTCCTCCTCTTTCTCCTTCCTCTTTTTCCTCCTCCTCTTCTTTTTTTTCTTCTTCTTCACGTTCACCTTCATGAACTTCCTCTCTAAAACCTGTTTAATTTCCTTCAACAAATAGCACATCTGATATAATTCATAGTTTTCATAGTTATCGCGAATTTCCTTCAACGAAAATTATCATGATCAATATGACATTTTCAATGAATTTTTTGTCTAGAGGAATGAACCTTTGACAGGCTTATTTCATGATGTTCATAAAATTCAATTTCTTCACTATCATCAGAGCTATAATCAGGTTCATCATCAGTGGAGCCGCTGGTTGATTTTTATACCTCAAACTTTTTTGGTTTTGGCAACATTTAGCATCATATTGTTTTACTTCCAATGTTGTTTTATCAACCAAATGAAATGCTAAGTAATCTCCAAGCCTTAAACAATGATCTTTATCAAAACTTGGCCACGGACGCTTGCAAACATGGTTATTGACCTTTCTTTTGAATTCTCACTGTCCATGAATTGTGTAGTGATCTTATTGCCTCAAATATGAATGTATATTTTGGAGAAAATTTTTCCTTGAATTTCCTCAGAAAAGCATGGGGAATTCGCTATAAAAATTCTAATAAATATATAATATAAAATTCATATATGACAACTGAAAAAGAATATTTAAAGGAAAGAATATAGGAGCAATTGATATGGTGCTTACAATTTCTCTAGTGAAGTAATCTTCAATCAATGCCAAGAACTTGTTGAATCCATCATTTGGGCTAATAATTGTCAATAGTTGCTCTTGGTACTCGGTTTGGAGCCTTGAGTATTGTACAAGGACTAAAGATAGTGAAGGGATAATTACAATCTCAGTAAGAATGATCAAAACAAGCCAAAGGATAATCGCAAGAAACTGGAGGGGAAAGATAGTGAAGGCAAGAGGGAATTGTGAACCAGAGGAAAGGAGAAGCAATTAAGGAAGAACCTCTTGCTGTAAGAAATGCAGTCAGCGATGATAGCCAAAAATGCAGGGTAGACTAAAATAGAAGTTCGCACGGACTGCAAATCAGTAGTGAACTAGATTAACAGCCGCAATGACTATGATTACAACATTGCAACTATTTTGGAAGACGTTTAGGAATTCAAACCAGGGTTTGAAAGTTATAGTTTCTTTTTTGTACCTAGATCAAATAACGAAATCAGCCATACACTAGATCAACTTGTTGTAAAGCTAGTGCATGATGTAGAATGGGAACAAGATTTCCCAATATGGCTGATAGACTTAGCACAGAAGGAAATGAAGGTAGTGGCCCCTTTTTGTAATCAACTCTTGTAATATCAAGTGTTAATAGCTATATGTATAAAATTGGTAATGTTTGTTGAAAATAAAATAGACTACTGTACAAGGATGGAATAACTAATTGATTTCTTTTCTTTTTTTTTCCTTTTCAGTTATTCTTTTGCACTTCCCAAATCTATTAATCACAAAATGAATGTACATTTTATTTTTGTTCATATATGTTGTTAAGGAATGTGGACATATTTGATTGATCGATTGTGTTGTACCTTCGTGCGAGAAGAATGAGTTTGAGCCTGGAATGTAATTGTTAAAGGCTTGGTCTGATATTTGACATTTGTAATTTGGGTCGCTCAGTTGGGCTGAGCTTTTGTGAGAATATCCAATTAATAGGCCTATTCTGTGACCACCGAAAAATGCAAAGCGAGAAATCAAACTCCCAAATGCAAAGTTTTGGAATAAGCCATCTTGGTTTATCTACTTGGAGTTAAGCCAATCAACCATAACGGTCTAAATGGGCCATCAGATCTCTCCTAAATAGGGGTGAACAAAAATACCAACTAACCTGAAGATTCGTAATATTCGATCCGATTAAATCAAAAAATTAGGATACATGATTCGTATTATTTGATCGAATCAAAAGAGGGTTAGATACCTGTTTAAATACAGGATTAGTTAAAGTCACATAATTAAAAACTCGTGGGTACCCAACCTGACATGCATATTTATTTATTTATTTTTTACTTTTATATACACACTATAAAATAATATTTTTAGAGTTAAATAAGTAATTTCATTGGACAAATTGCATTACAAATTTGGAAGATTATAGTTTGTTGACAAGATTCATTCGTGAAGGTCATGATCTTATGTTTTTTATAAAAAATTTAATTAATTTGGAATATATATTTTAAAAAAGGTACTGCTTATTTCAAATTTTATTGATTTTGAATTTTTTTCCTTTTTCTTCTATTCTGTTCACATGTTTGTTTCTTGGTGGGAGATTTTTTTTGAGAAAAAGTTTTTATTAAATCTTATATGAATATATAAAATATAAAATTAAATTAGTATAAATCATTTTAAAAAAAAAACTTAAATGAGAAGTAGAGCAAGACAGGTACCCATTGATTCAATCCTATCTCAACGGATACCTGATTGTTGGGTACCTACTGATATGCAAGGTAGGTATATGTCAAAAAAATGGCTAATAAACAATGTGCAGATCAAATCAACTAAATAGTGCACAAGACGGGTACCCGACTCATGCGCACCCCACCGCTTATTGATGTTGGTCTCTCCAACCCAATCAAGAAGCCCAGCTGCAAGAATCTTATAAATGACGTAGAAACATTGGAACAGAATTTAAAGGTTCATACTTCAAGAATCCACTAAACAATCTTATACCTTATTTCTTCTAATTAAAAAAAATTAGGGACTAAAACTGTATTCTTTTTCAAATAAAAAAGATTGGTGCATCTGCAATTTGTGGGATCTAATTCAACATTTCTGTTTTTATTATTTATGGTCAACCAACTAACTCAATATTATTTGGGTCAAATGGCATAGTTCTCTAACTAAATAACCAAAATTGTTTTTCAATTATTAAATGTTTTAACAAAGTCTAAACTAGATGTATCATTTAAAAGGATGCTTTTGTTCAAGTAAGAATGTTTAAATTTGATTTCGTTGTTCGTAGGGCAAAATTTTGGATTAATGTCATAATTGTTAATCTATGATGTTGTGAGTATCTGTATTTTAAACTTTAGCAAGCTTTTTTTTTTTTTTGTAGTTTTCTTATATATATATATATTTTAAGTGAAAAATTTTGAATCCAATACCGCCTACTTCCGCCATCTCCCATCTTACTACTCAACCCAGTCCAGCCCTCTCGTGTGTATTTTTGTGGTTAAAATACATATTGTAGCTTACAAAATGCAACAAAAAAATCATTTATATAGTCAATTATCCAAATGATAATGGATTTGCCGGGTGGTAAAGACGTTTAGCTCGGTTTGGTTATCTATAAAGTAATTTGACCGAAAACCCCAAAGAAAAGAAAAAGACATGCCTTGTAATTGTTATCTTTTTAATAGATAACCCATCCAAGAACACTTCCAGGCCCTGATAATGACCGTTTAGGAACAGAAGAATTTCTTGAAAAAAATTTACATATATTACTGTATAAATAGCATAATACAACAACAAAAGAGCCAAGAAAAAGTAACAATTATAATTACAACATGGCACTAATTAATGAGAACATAAAATATTTTATCTTTTAGTTTCATTCAAATTCACCAATGAAATCTCATTAGGTATTAGATGCATGAACCAGAGAGAGAGTCTGTAGCTTCAGTGATATCCAATTGGAGCTGAAAAATCCTTCAACTCATGTCCCTGGTACTGAATATCCTGAAATTAAAAGACATAGAAATCAAAAATTAAAAGTAATTCTTTACCAAATCTAAAATTGATCTAATAAAGGGAATTTTGTTAATAATATAGTACTTACTAACTTAATGATAAACAAAAGAAAAAAGGGAAAGAAATTGCATAGAAAACTTACGGATGCGAAGTGGTTAATGTCTCTGTGATGTGCCTCATCAGCCCTTATAACTGTGACAACATCTTTGAGCGTTGAATCAGGTGGCAGACGCCAATAATCAATTGCAATGGCTGGTGCAGGTTTGTTTTCAAACAAACCTTTTTCCAAATCTATCAGAAATTCAGTGTAGGAATTCACTGCCTCTTCTTCAAGATATCCCGTTATGCGATGAGCAAGTTTTGGGGAGGCCAAATATGCAAGAAAGTAGCCATTGAAGAACACACCCTGCACTGCAAAAACTAGTGCTCTTTCATACCATTTTGGCTGTGATAATTCAAGAAATGTCATTAGATGCATCCTTTCATTCTCAGCTTCTTCTAGTAATGCCTTGATCCATCCTCCACTGTGCTCGAATCGGCGCAGGGATCTGAGGTGCAACAGCATCCCTCCAACCATGCCTGGCACAGCTGCAACAGTTTCTAGTAACATTGCGTGGCACATGTGACGTCTCTGCAAAAAGTTGTATAAATATAGCTGAAATCAATATGAAGCTAAGTTTTGGCAAATAATGCTTTTCTACGGTTATATAATTCAAGTATCGAGTAATTTAATTTTGTATTTTAGCATGCTCCTATACGTAAATGTACACTTAAAGCTTCCCAAAAATCAGAATGCAACCTCAAGCATTGATTCTCTTAAAGGTGCCCCTCAAATAGCCAAAAGTTTTCCTGTTCTAGTACTTCTTACGGGAATGTCCCGATAGTGAAAATTATACAGTAAAAGAAACAGATTCTTTTTTTTTTTGGAAAGAAGAAATAGATTCATTTTGAAGCTTATGAAGCTAAGTGGCAACCTTGCACTTGAACTTTGAAGGGCTAAGTTGACACAATACTCTGCTTTGCAGACAGAAATTGTAGAGTTTAATTCTTGAGGGGCTCGATCGACACATTTTTCTAATATTAGATGGGCTCGATGTATGCATAATTGTATAATAATTGGAACCCGTCCAAAAATCAATGAGAAATGATAAATAGAATTCCATTTTTTAGCCTCATTTCCCACCTTTCTATTACTAAAATGTCTAGAACACTTGCACAGAAATGTTTAAAATTTTGATTGCCAATAAAAGCAGTATCTTATGGGTTTTTTAGCCATTTGATTAAAAAGATTGGATTGGGACGGATGAGGTTGAAATATGGGTGAATTTATCATTTCCCACATCAATACAAAATTGTTGTAATTTAAGCCGCCTGAAATGTAGATTGATTCTCTTAGACTGCCTCTCAAATAGCAAAAATTTTTCCAGATTCAGAATAATCTTCCAAACTTGATCCTCATGTTTAGCTAGCAAAAGGTGCAGGTTTCGAGCCAAGTTCTAGAAGTTTATGAAACAAAAAGGAACTTTTGACATTTGAAGGGCTAAATTGACACAATACTATACTTTGAACACAAAAAAGTTTGGAAAAATAAAATTCAGTGGACTCGAATAACAATTTTGTGCATTTTAGATGGGCTTAGCTTGAATAAACAGTTAAATTTGTTCAATCAAGTGCAATTTTAGGACATAAAATTTGTAGAATGAAGTAGTGAATCTACCTGAAAGAACAAGTGGGTTGGATACTTGAGAGCTTGCACAATCCAATAAGCTAATTTATCATTCAACGTGGTAGCCTCGTGATGTTTCTTGACATCAATTGATGTGTCTGCTTTGTAAGTCTCCCATGGCTGTCAAATGAAACCAACTTCAAATTAAATACAAAGCCTCATATTCAAACAAAATAAATTATTAAATTCCTACTCTAATATTGATCCTAAAAAATTCCCTCAACAACAAAAGGAAATATTAAAGCTTACAAATAGTTAATTACCCAATAACCCCTAAAGTTTGAGTAAGTTAAAAGTGAATACTAAACTTTGAAGTGTCTGCTTTGGCTGTCAAATGAAATCAATATCAAATAAAAGTGCAATTTCTTATATTAAAACACAAAAATTGTGAAATTCGCATTTTAAGTTTGAGTACAAAAATGAACTAATAAAGCCTAGAAAGAGTATATTACCAAAGAACCCTCAAATTTGAGTAGATTAAAAAATGAGCTCTAAATTTATTGACCTCACAAATAATAACATATCCGACCATGGACTTGCTTGCAAACATACCCTGAAACAATTCCACATCCAAGGTGATCCATCTTCCTTGGTGATATTAGGAGGAGCCACTCCCCAGTAGCTTACTACTGCCTTATGATCAGCTTGACCTTCAGAACTGTCAACTGCCCCGGTTGGAGCTGTCGACGTCTTCTCTTCTTTCCCTACATTTGGAGCCATAGAACTCCAATTCCGAGCCCCTGGGATTGGATTCCAGATGCTGATTCCGATTCCTCTAACCCCTGAAATCTTAGAGGCTTCAGACACGATATTGCCAAATTTTGATGATGGCAAAACATGCTGTTGAAGCTGCCTCAGAAGTAGGCCAGAAAACTTCATTGCAGCTATGTTACGACTAATCTAGCTAGGAGATTGATAATGGCCTCTGAATTGGTAGAAAGAAAGTGAAACTAATGGAACCAAGAAATTTGGAAGAAGTAATTAGTAAATGCAGATGATTGTTGACCGCAGGAGATGATTCTTGGAAGTTTATATAAGGTCATGGTTTGTGATGAATGGTCAACATCGATCAACATAGGATGCAAGAGAGAAAATTCCTGGGGACATAATTGTTTAGACAGATGTAAACTAAAGAACACGAGAGGGAAGGAAGAAATTTCTTTCCAAGTTGACTGGGAACCTCCAGGTCAACAACGAACAGGTAGGAGTAATGGATTACGTATATAATATGTCTCTATTCAATGGATGCTTTGGGAACCTTGTTTAATCTTTTGAAAAAGTTATAGTACATAAAAAAAAGTGATTAAATAGAAAAGTCAGAAAATAACTAAGGATCTACACTGTGTTTTGTATAATAATAATGACTCTCCGCATGAAAGTTTACAATTATATTGACCTCTCTAAAAGTTTAAATGGATTTTGTTCTCCAGACCCAATTTAATTGTTGCATGTCTTAAATCTTAATCAAGGGATAGAGGATTATTTGTCAAAATTTATTTGCTTACATCATCATTACAATTTTCAATACACTTTTTTACCTTTCCAATTATCTTTTTATCTCACATACATCACATCACAAAAAATGCTACAGTAAAAATATCTCAAATAATTTACAATCCAAACAGAGCTATTGAAATTTTTAATTTGACTTTCAAACCCTCCGTTCCTCCCTTCTCTCTTGTAGTATTCGGAGTCGCCCTTTGAACTATAAGTAAATAAATGGAACAAATCTTGGTTTAAGTGTGACGGGTCGGATTTGATATATAATAAATTTTGAGATTGCTTTTCTAATATTGGTTAATAACATTGGTGAAAACTCTACCCAATCGTTGTTTGATGAAAGATTGATGATCCCATCTAATTTAAGCTTCCATGTGAAGATTGTTGTGTAGCTATATTGGACGTGCATGTACATGCTATTGCATGAATTCTTAGGGGAGATTAGAAAAATTTTGTACACTAAAGAGGATTTGTGCAAGGATAAATTTCCAACTCTGCAATCAATTTTGATTTGATTTTGAACTAATTTTGGTGACTAAACGATAGTGGATATTTTTCTAGTCAAGAAACGTCCAAAGTTATAATGGACGCGTTTTGTAAATGTTTGTGTCATATTGGGCCTCGGCAGCACGGGCACGGCAAGCAAAGAAGTTCGAGATATTTTGTTTCCAATCATGACTAGTCAAAACTCGTTAGCGGTTATTAATCAATTTCGTGGAGGCTTTATAATTGTTCAAAATGAGAAGCAATATATCAACTTTTCCTGCAAACGAAAACCGCAACGGATCTTCTGTCTCATACCCTGTGCCACTCTTTGTGCCACTTTTTACTATATTGTTATTTCTCTTTCATAAATATCATGTTTTAGTTCTTTTTTGTTTCCTTAAGATCCAATAACTATTAATTCAGTAACACACAAAATTTAACAAACTCAAAAAATCAAAATGCATAAAAAAATGAGATTTTTTCTGAATTTTCTGCTATATTTTTAAATTTTCTATTATATATTACTTTTTTGAAACTGTTGTATTTATTTTTTGCTGAATTAATAGTTATTGAATCTTAAGGAAACAAAAAAGAACTAAAATATGATATTTATAAAGGAGAAATAGCAATATAGTAAAAAGTGGCATAGAGAGTGACACAAAGTGTGGAACAGAAGATCCGTTGCGAACAACAAACCATAAAACATATCAACTTTTTTTTTTCCGGTAAATTACTCATAATTCCTTATACTTTTGCATGATGCCATATAACCCTCGTAAGATTTAAAATATACACATAATCCCTTTACAATTTTCGGTAAATTGGAAATTTAACCAAAAATAATTTCCGTGATATCATTAGTTGAAATGCCACTATTGTTCTTACTTAGGCACTAAATCAAAAAGGGTCTAATCACTACACATAAAATTATAGAGGGATTATGTGGATAAATGTAAAATCAAGAATGGTTAAGTTGATATTTATGCAAAATTATAAGGGATTAAAATTGATATTTTAGTTTCATGACACGCACTTTTGGACTGCGTCTTGATCAATCACTATAATCGGAGATGTTTTTTTTATTGAATTTTCACTTTACATAAATCTATAGGAGGACAACTTTAAAATTTTACGATGGTAGTGCAATAATACAGAGGGTTTACGAGTAATTTACCCTTTTTTCTCTCTTATTTGGTAAAAAAAGTTTTATAAACTATTGTGCGGATAAATCATATAATTAGTTTTTCATATCCTACGGAACCAAAATAATTTGCAATTTGTAAACGCGGTACTCATTGTTCCCAAATCACAACTAGTACCGAATAAAGTTCCTAACAACTAGAAGCATACATGCACATACTCATTTGACAAAATCAAAAACAAATTTGGAACACATATGACATAACTAGACGTATATAAGTCCGACTTTGTTTCTTCGTTTACTTTCTAGATTCGGTACACATTTGGAAGCTTTTATTAACTTTTTCCGTAAACACTTCAAGAAATCATCAAGATTTTATTATTTCTACTCAATATTTAACAGTAAATTCACTAAAAAACTACATAGTTTCCATATTAAACTTAAAAAACTCATTATGTAGCTAAATCTCACCCTTCACTTCATTAATAGATGGTCATTATCCAAGGGTACTTTAGCTATACGGCCAATCAAAAAAGTTTTACTTTGTTCAATAGTATGACCAAGGATACATGTGTGATCAATTTTTATTTGGATTTGAGCTAGTTGATCGGACACATACTTGTTTGACAAAATCAAAGACAAATTTGACAAAAACTACATAATCCCACCTTTCGCTTCATTAATAGATGGTCATTAACCAAATCTACTTAGCTACACTGCCGATCAACAAGTTTTACTTTGTTCAATGGTATGACCAAGGATACATATCTAATTGATTGAAATTTCTTGCATTTGAGCTAACTGATTAATTTTATGAGAGCCACAACTCTACATAAACTTGCTAAGAAGTTAATTCAATGATGTTTAGGGACCCTAATATCAACCTTCTGGTCAGTGAGTTTACAATGATCAACAAAACCGCAGATGTAGAAGTAATGGCCAGGGCTCTTGATTTTGATGTAGTCTTTGCCTGACGAGTAGGCGGCTATGGGATTTTTTGCATTGCATGCATGGTAGTCTTCCCGCCTCACTTGCACCACATTATGAAACCCCGGGTCGTACTCAAAATCTACAAACGTAGAATTGATCAAAGTTCAAGTGAGTTAGAAATGGGAAACAAAGTACAATTATATGGATTTTTTTTTTTTTACCTTCCACCCCTCCGAAATCCTTCCCACCCCTAACTGTCAAGTTCAAGATGTATAATTATATAGTCTTAAACACATCGACTTGATCCAAATTTGACACTTCTTAATGCCATTATATGAACAATTTGTTGCAATAGAACGTCTTATCATTTAGTTTGCAGGTCATTAAGATTGCCAACTCACTAGTTATGGAGAATTTTGAGGTACAATTGCTAGTAACAAAATAGGTGCAGGTTAAGCTAACATGATAAATATAATTAAGAGTATTTTAAGAACTACTAAAAAAAAATGAATGTATGTGAGGGTTATAGTCATATATAGATTATAGGGATAAATAATATCAAAAAGGTCAGAATTGTTGACCTCAGATTAACTTTAAAATTCTGGTACTAACTATTGAATTACTTATGAAACTGGGGAGAACTTAACGCATCAAATAATGTAATTTATCGTGAATTAGGAGAAGACTAGACTGGACGATCTATCCAATTATGATAACGAACATAAAGATTAATATTAAATACCGACAGGAAGATCACAACTCCAATAACAAATACTACCATTCATTAAAAAAGAATACTACCATATATTGCATCACTAACAAGATATGTAAAATTTGATACTTACACAGAATATCTCCAACTTGAAATTCTATGGCAGCGGCCCACTCAGTGTAGTTAACCACACGCAACGACGACCAGCCGCCAACATCACCCACGGTGTAAACAGTGGGGGAGACCCCAGAAACAGCCATTACAGTGAGGAGAAGTAGTATCGCTTTTTTCGCCATGTCCATGACTTGGAGAACTTCAGAGCAAAGCCAACATTTTCTTTCTTCATTTGTCATTCTTGTTTAGGTTATTTAGATGAAGGCAATCTAAAGCTTCAATGTACTATAAACAGATCCGTAGACAACAATAGATGGGCTTTATGCAAATCTAAGCATGTACTTTTAGATGGATCATCAGTCAATGAGATTAACTACGTCCTTTACTGAAGAAGATAGCGACAAATTCCTTTTTTTTTTCTTTTTAATTTTCTGGGTAAAAAATAAAGTTTAGTGTCATAGTGGAAAGGTTGGTTGGAAGCTTATTAATATGTACACTGGAAAAAATATGATAAATTCATTATCTTGATTGAGGAAGAACATCATGTATTTTGGTACATTCAACTGTTAAATGCACGAACTATCCAATTTTATGAAAGTTCGGAGGAATTACCAAAGGCACAAATATACTATGCCAAAATGAACAAAATTTCTGAACAAACGTACGATGTGTTTGTAAGTAACATATGTTACAAAAAAGCTGCTTTTATGTGACGACACAAATTGGTTACTCAATAGAGCATAGACATTCAAAGGTGCCTTTATTATCTGTGCAGACTGTGCTAGATGCGTTGAGATTATGATGGAGGATGTCATGAAATCAATTTCTTTCCTTTGAACCAACCTCATCACTTATCTACCAGATATAATGCCATACAGAAAAGAAAAATCTCCAAAAACAATAGCAATGTTCAAAATGACCAAAATGATGTTCAAAACACGAAAAATCCAATTTGACAATGCCAAATTTCTCCTTCAACAATATCAAGTTAGGTGTTTTCAATGGCCTTATAAGGAAGCTAATCAAGTGGCTTATTGCTTGGGGCGTTTCGTGAAATATGTGTCAGATTGTATAAAATGGAAGAAAGAGGCTCCAAGATTGTTACAAGCATTCACTTGTAAAGATTCTTCATGAAGTGAAATTTAAATTTCTTTGTGAGTAAAAAAATGGGTTCAAAACCAATATATTGCATTGATTACATGAGATCTTAATTGATCGTTTTATCAGTCAGGTGGTCGACTGACATTCTTCAAATAAAATCTA